CTCCTTGATATCCCCTCCCCCTCCTCACCTGCCCTTTTGAAGTTCTCAAGACAACTTTGGGAAGTAGATGGGCTCAATAAATCAAATAGTACGCTTTCTTTTTTTTTCTGGCAAATTTGTTAACCTGCTATTACAAGAATGTAGGATCTTCTCGAATGAAAAGGTTCTTGAGTCTAAGGAATCCAGGAATTGGCTGATGGTATAGATAATATCTCAAAATCAAACAAACAAGCCATGGCTGAGAGCAACAACTGCTTTGCAAACAGTACTGATTAAAGGTAAGATTGTGAAGTTGTAGACTATTCATGCAGGAACACTCCAGGTGCATTTTGGACATTCCTGCACCATCGGTTTGCATACTACGCCCACTGTTGAGCTTTTCCTTGGCCTGCCCTGTCCGGCAACTTCTATTGGTTTATTTTCTACTTTCTGCATTCAGTGTCGTACCTCTAGTTTGCTCACATTCCTGTGCTATTTTAGTTATCACAATAATTTGATGAAAAGAAAATATGGCATGAATGAGTAACATTTAAAGTGCAATCTTCCTCATGAGATAACCTTTTCAGCACATTAAGGGGAAAAAGACCCTGAGTCCTTGTGGGCTCAGTTTAGAAGCACAAAATAATATAATTTCTAAAAATAAAATGTAACAATAAGAACTCGCTGCCATTGAGTAAATTCTAAATGCATAGCAACCCTAAATGCATAAGTCAAAACTGACTCAGTGATAGTGAGTTTATGTTTCTGCTCTTAAAATTATTAGCCTTATTCTAATTAAACACTTAGGCCACTGACCGTATATGTCATTTTGACAGCAAGCAAGACACCATGTAATTTACTCTGAACATTTATCAACTTTGATTATATAAGGAGCCTGGTGGCATAGTAGGTTGTGCATTGTGTTGCTAGCCTCAAGGTCAGCAGTTAGAAACCACCAGCTACCCTGAGGGAGAAAGATGAGGCTCTCCACTCCTGTAAAAAGGCACAGTCTCGGAAACCCACAGGGGCAGTTCCACCCTGCCTTATATGGTTGCTATGCCTTCGAATTGGCTCAATGGCAGATGTGAGTTTTGGTTAGCTAGTCATCCAGATCTATAAGGCTTTTGTTAACCACAGGCAATTTCTAAGCAAAGACACAGAAAGACCCTGCACTATCTGCCATCAAATAAACACAACTTTGAAAAGTAAAACTCACCAAAGATGTAGAAAGTGGAAGGCCATCCTATGGTCTGGCAGAGGAGACCACCAACAGCAAAGGCAGTGAAGGATCCCAACAGGGCCCCTGATGCAAGAGGCAAGCATGTTCTAGGTGAAGAGGCCAACGTGTGCTTCCTACAGACTGACCCCTTTCACAAAGCTGAGCTGTGTCGTGATTAAAAGTATGAGCTTTAATTCAGACTATCGAGATTCAAATCCCATTCCTTCATCAGATAACTGTGATCTTGGACAAGGAATAACTAATCAATAAATGTCTTTGTCTTGAAGGGACCATCCACCCCGGATTTCCTATGTTTCCAGTTCCTATCTGTACCAGCGGACACCTTCTGGTCTAGCCAGACTTGCAAGGTAGAATTGGGATCATGATAGTGGGGGG